CCCAACCATGAACCCTGCTTCTCCCATCATCCTCCTGCTGACATACAGCTTGGACCACTCCTGGTAACACCGGGCCAGGATCTCTCTTCCCCTCCTCCACTTTGAGTTACACCCCCCCCACCCAACCACCTCCTCTTTTTGCTTATTTTCTTCTTTTTTCTTTTCTTTTTTTTTCTACAAAGGCAGGACATTTTTTTGCGTTTTGTTTTTGGGTTTTTTTTCAAGTCATTTCAGGTATTTTATTTTTTCAAATAACACAAAGGAAAAAAATTAAAACTGAAATCAAAGAACTGAAGAATTTTAAAAAGTTCCTTTTACAGGAACGGTAGATTTTGTTGCAACGGATGAATGTTGCCTTCATTTATTATTTATTGCTTTTAAACATATATTTGCATAAGAGAAGGAGGCGAGATGATGAACAGTAATCGAGGAAGTTGATTTGTCATTAAAAGATGGAAGTGAGTTAGGTTAGAGTCGATAGGCCTACTGCAGTGAAGTATATGTGAGGCAAAGTAGTATAAAATCTTTTGATACTGATCCATGCCCATCAGAAGTCAGCTAGACAAACAGCAGATTCACGTCATCAGAGAAAACAGAACAATCTGAAGGGAATGATAGTGAAGGTTGGTGAAACAGGAAAGAGACAGGGTGATTACCAAATGCCTTTTTTCAGAGGATGTTGATGACTGTTGGCAGATTTGATTTTTGTGGATTGTTTTAAGACACAATTACACTTTAGTATACAATGGTGTACAAAGTAAACTGGTGAAGATCAGAGTTGTTTTTCTAACGTTTTATAAGGATACAGTAAAATAAACCAGTACCAATAGTGTTATGTGAGCCAGTAGTGTCAGATGCGGTTAGAGATATATTCATGAAGAGCAAAGATTCACTGGCACCAATAGATAATAGTCTAGATAGATGTGCAATGCTCATATGGTTTTAATAATTAAGTACTTTTTAATGTGCACATTTGTTCAGTTGTTCTGTTATTTCTCCAATTAATTTGATTTGCATTTTCTCATCAAGTTGAAATTCGATGAATTTCAATTATTTCTTTATATGAAGAGTTTATGATTTATTTTGGTTTCATATCAACCATGCTCTTAGGTTTATGTATCATACTATATTATTATTATTACTAGAATAAGAGTAATGATGTACTTTTTGTACAAATTAGTTTGTTTCCTAATATATATTGACAGGTTTTCCATGTATATTTTAACAGAACTGAAATGTTATTTTGTTATTGAAGATTAAATTATACCTTTTTTAGCGCTGTGTTTCAAGTAAGGTCAGAAGCATTCATGGCAATGTGGATGGGGGGACAAAACAAAACAAAAAACAAAAAAAAAACAAAAACAAAAAAAAAAAACAGGGTTTTTATCCAGATCCACTCAACACTGATCACAACTGTCATCACTCCACCAGCAGTGACTCAGCCTTCAACGTACATGCAGTTTAAAACATGTATTTGTGCAGAATAAAATCTGCAGATATCATTGTACCACCACAAATACCAAATAATCCAAAAATACATTTTCACCTTTCATAACTTTACCATATCTTATTGTACTTGAAGAGCCTGTAGAGACGACTGTGAGCCTGACCGGTACTGGATCTGCACCAAACAGTAAAAACCTGTTCTTTGACCCATGGCCTAACTTCCCACGAAAATTCATTCAAAATGTGTTAAAACAAAACTACAGCTGAAATGATTAGTTTATTGATTGATAGAGCTTTAACAGGCAACTATTTTGACAATTGAATACTTGTCATATTTCAAGCACAAATGCCAAACGTTTTCTGGTGTCAGCTTCTTCAGTGTGAGGACTTTCTGCTTTTTCTGTTTTATATCTTTGTAAATTTCATATCTTTTGGTTTTTGACTGTCAGCTTGGGTTCTTAGAAATTATGTACATTTTAGGATTTTATGATTTTATGGATTAATCTAGAAACTAATAGGCAGATTAATTGATAATGAAAATAAGTGTTAGTTGCAGCATTAAACAAAACAATTTGTTGCTCACAAATTAAAAATGAACAATTAAATGGGACTGGAAAGGTCACCTCTTTGGTTGAGGAAACAGTGGAGTGTGCTTGACAAACTACAGTATGTAATGAAGACATTTTCTGAGGTACCTCATGCACTTTTTTCTTAACTATGTACTTAAGTTGCTTTCTTCCCTTGATTTTTTTTTTTATGTCAGCCACCATAAAAACAGATACCAATATATCTACGATAAGCCAATACTGGCAAATAATATCTGCCCTTTGATTTGCCGGTCAGGCTCTAGACTCTTCTGCCTCGTAGCTCCAGGGAGCAATGACTGTCATGGCTGTTGGATTCTGGGTAAAATCTGTTTTTTGTACTGAGTGTCTACCTCCTGTACCAAGTGCAGGCGTAAGTGTTAGTGTGTCCGTATGTAGGAATCAAAACAAGATTCAAGGTGATCGCGGTGGATGTTTAGACAGAGAAGAGTAAAAAAAAAAAAAAAGGTCAATTTATTATATTTTGCTAAAAAGGAGAAAGACTCACGGAAAGGAAATGAGGCATGAAATGAGAGACAGAGGTAGAGAGAGACTGAGGGAAATCAGAGGTTCAAATGGGAACGGAAGGCATTTGGTGACTCGTCACTCTAATGGCTGTACAGGGGTTGATTGTGTTCGGCCTCCTATTTCAAATCCCACACCCTCCCCAACCCCCTCCCCACCCCTACACCAGCACCTGCAGCTGCTCCACTGAAGGCCCAATGGTGCTACCTTCTTTGTTTGCTCCTGTGTAAACCGAGCCTGTCAGTCCCAGGCGAAGTTGTCGTCCTGACCAGAGTAGCATGCACTTTGGCGTTGTGGCTGGATCCACTCTTCTAGCTCATTATCCTTCACAAAGCGTAGTTATCTGTGGCGGAGGGAGCAGCACGATGCTAGAGGGAATATCAAATCATTAGAGCTACATTGGCAACCAACCTGCCATATACAGTAGAGGAGCTTATTTACGTCAAGTTAATAGTTTTTCACTTGGATCCGTCCAGTAAATAGCAGATGCAAAGATGAAGCACATTTCTCCTAACAAGGGGTGGAGCAGGGTGGGCGGGTTGACTTTTTTTTTTTTTTTTTGTGTACATTCATACTTCATATTTATTACTTCTTTACTGACATAAAGGTCAACATGACTGGCCAGTCCAGCCAGGCCGAGTTGTTAGCAGGACATCTTTTAAAGGTCAGTCTGCAAAGGTGTTTCTCGTACATCTATCAGCATTATGTAGCTTCAGTGGTCTCTCTCTGAACATGCAACAATTAAACAAAAAAAAAAGGCAGCATTATTCAAGGAGCAATAATCAGCTGTAAGAGCAAAAAGATGTGATTTACAAACTTGTGTATGAAAATCCAACAATGAATATGTCCTTTCATGTTTCTAGAAAACCACTTACCAAATTGCTGTTGTGCTGACTCTAACAACGATGTGACCATTGAGACACTTGTTGCATTCAGTAATAACATTTTATAAAAAAAAAAATCAATTTTCCTTGGAGACCTCTTGTGTGGATGTTTGTTCTGCTGCTGTTTTCTTTGCTGTTTTCATTGTTAAGTGACAGATTGCTCCCTGTGCCTGGATCCTAACTGCAGTTTACCAAAGTGGCAAAGATGAAGGAATGGAGACACAAGACACAACATCCCTGTCAGTTGTACTACAGACTGCTCCATCCCTAAATCTCCCCAGGCCCAGAGGGAAAACGGTGTTCATCTGTCTGAAGCTGTGATGTACACTGTGCAGCCCCTAAAAAAAATCTCTGTCTTAATTTGTCTTTACAGGCACATTTTCCTGTGGCAAACCTGACTTTACATTTACATTTCAGTTGCTGTGTCATGTTTACATATTTTACTGTTCTTTTACTTCATGGGAGATGGTTACAGTTTAGGTCAGGTCTGTGACTTTTGATGATCAAGTGTCAGCGTCATCCATGGTTTATATATGAAAAACAGATAATCCATCCGTCCCTGAAAAGCAACAGTGAAGGTACAGCCATGCAAAGTACATAACGGGGGATGGACTCAATAACAGAAACACCTGCATGGTGTAAAGTAATTCCTCACAACAACCAAGCAACAATAAACTTGTGAAACTTGTGATCAATTCTAAGTTTTGTCAAAGATTTGTTGGGATAATTTTTGAGGTTGTAGTTTGTGGTGATATTGTAACTGTGAGGTGTTCTTGTTATTTTGTCTACTCCCTGTGTCTTGCTACATATTTCAGCAATGATCAGATTATCAGTCTCAAAAAACAATTATTAAGGACTTAGGTATCAAAGATTATCACTGGCTGTCCTTCAAACATATTTTTTTAAGGGTTTTTGTTGATATTTATGTGATGAAAATTAACACAACCAATTTAGATGATCTTAATCTGGTGATTTATACACAATTGGCTACTTGAATTTCGTCCCTGGCCAAAATCCTTATCATATTAAAGTGGATCATGATAGTCATAACTGAAGACATCTTGGTCTGCTTTTAGCCCCTCTGCCAACTCCCAGTAGACAGACCTTTACACGACTGTGTATACACATCATTAAGTGTATATGCATATCCATGTCTGGTGGTGTTATGTTGTCTGCATCGTTCTATCCTGGGATTGGAGATTGCTGTTTAATTACGTTATATATGAAAAAATATATATATATATAAATCCATGTGCCAAATCCAGTTCTTGTTCAGTCTGATCCATTCCGAACCCGTTTGTACTGTAGGTAACCTTCTGTACAAGTCAGTATAAAATATTGTTTCTCTCCAATAGTCCCTTGTAACTGGTGCCATTAAATAAAACTATTCAAACTTGAAATAAACATTGAATAAAATTGTGATGTGGCTTTCCCTGTGGCTTTGTGGAACAAGACAAATTCAGCACAGCATACCTCTCTCAAGCAAAAAGAAAAAACTGAATGTAGACTAGCTGAAGCAAAATTTTAAATGTATTTAATATAAAAAATTCAAATGGACAGTGAAAAAGTCAGCTAAAATTTTACAACAATGAATATAGACACCAGACACCATAGCAATAACTGTGCAGCACATACACTGTAAACACAGTAAATACTTTAAAACAATTACGAAGACTAGCTCGTTTGAAAATGTAGTGAATGATTAGTTTCCCAGAAGACAGCCCTAGCTCAGGTGTGAAAAGGCTGGCTTCAAGAAGGGCCGCTGGTTGGTTTGAGGGGTCGGGACAGCCATGAAGCCCGGTCTCCTGCCTGCTGATGCATCTCCTCCCGAGCACCTGGACCCCCGACCTGCAGCTTTTGATCCACCTCTGGAGCTGGACGATGACCACGATTTATTGCTGTTGTAGCCACGACTGAATGCACAACAGAAGAAGAGACGAGAAGAGACATAAGAATAAAGGGAATCTATTGGGCAGATATGGTCCCCAACTGGATGATGAAATGTGAGACAAATACTCTACACACCCTTTAGAATTGGAGCTTGTGTTGCCATATACTTTTTTCTTCTTAGAATACTTGTGGAATGGAGCTTTTTTCCTCTTCTGTCCCTGTTTGGACTGATTACGGAAGTAGGTGGAGGACTCTGTGTCGTCCTCGTCCTCGTAGTCTATGTTTGCGCGGCCTCGTGTCGTGTCAATCCACCCATCTCCATCATTCGCAGTCTGCTCCTCTTCTACGGAGGCAATGTACGGTTAATATCACAATGTAAACTAGTAAAGGAAGCGGGGTGCAAAACGTTTATATAAGCAAAAACTTCAGTTGTGTCTCTTACCAGGTAGCTGCCACTCAGAGTATTTCTGTAGGACCTGAATGACTTCAGCTCCATACTTCTCCAGTTTGTCCTCTGTCACACCATCGATTTGTAGGAGGACTTCTGAGTTAGAAGAAAGCGTCTCTGTCGTGGGAAAGCAGGGTTTCATAGGTTATAAAATGCTTATTGTATAATATGAGCTTTTGTGGCATTTAAAATGCAGTCTTAACAATTTTTTCAGACATTACCAGCTATCTTTTTCAAGGTGGCAGTGGAGAAGATGTTGAAATAGTGAAGGCCAAATGCTTTCCCCAGCTGCTTGCACAAATCTGTCAGCTCCTTCAGACACTCCTGAACCTTCTCTTCTCTCTGGGAGACATTCTTGGCCACAGCAGCTTTATGTTTCCTGATGGTAGACGCGCTCTCCGTTTCATAGAACTCCACCTGCCACAAGTTAAATGTAATAATATTTAACAACTCAATTAACAGTCATTTTCCAGCTCTTCACATTGCGTTTAATATGATGCATGACCTGTTACCTGCATGTGTCCAGACAGAACGTTCATGGCTTTTGGACCAGCAGAGATATAAGCCGCTGCTTGGCCTTTGACTGTGATGTAGAGGTCCTCAACCAGAATGTTATCCAGAACCAGTTTTTTGAAGAGACGGTCGGCGTTATGCTTGGAGTAGGCTCCTCCCATCGCAAACATTCCTGTCTGTATCTTAGCAGATTTAGACCCTGACAAAATAAAAGTTTCCCCCCGTGTGAACATTCACAGTTCTTACCACATAGAATATGAACACAGCTGTACAAGACAGATCTTATTACATACATCACTGCAAGATTCACAGTTGCAAAACGCATTTTCAATGCAAGCACAAGTACATACTGTACCTGTGAAGATATCCACGAGCATGTTTAGTGTCAGCCGGCTTTGCTGAGCAGTCTTGCCGAACATTGCTCCAACTTTCTCACAATTCTCCTGGACGAACCTCACAATCTTCTTCACATCTTCGCTGACATTTCTCATCTTGTATTGCTGCACACAGGAATATTCAAATTGTTGCTCAACTGGAAACAGCCATGTAGGTTTTGAATATGTAATAAATAAAGAAAGTAATGACAGGAAATGATTCCTACGTTGGGTTTGGTGCAGTTGTCACAGCTGACGTCGGGGTGGTCTTTACAGAAGCTTTTGTTGAACTTGAGCTCCCCAAAGTAAGCGAGCAGCTGAATTCTTCTACACTCCATCATGTTCTCGCAGAAGTGCACCATGCTATGTAGGTTGTTGTAATGAGTCGCCTTGGTGTGTCTGTCACCTTCTCTGTCCACTGTGATTAAAAAAGAAATGAATAACCATCTGACTCTACATGAATAATATACAGTTAGCTGTTTGGAAAGAAAACGTGATTTGAATGAATTCATAGCTTTTTTTTTGCATGCATTAAGAAATGTCTGTTATTTTTGCCACATACTGCTGATAATCCTCTTGATGCGGTGGACGTCGGCGTAGGAGTAGAAGAGAATACAGTGAGAGATCTCTCCGTCTCTGCCGGCTCTTCCCGACTCCTGGTAGTAACCCTCCATTGATTTAGGCAGACTGGCGTGGATCACATAACGCACATCAGGCTTGTCAATGCCCATGCCAAAGGCTATGGTGGCACAGATGACCTGGCAGACAAAGGGAAACAGTGAAACAAGAGCCATGCGCAATATGTTTCTACTTATACTTTAAATCCTTCAATTATCTACTGGTTGGCAACATGTTACCTTTGTATCTATGAGTAATATTTATATGATATCAGTGACTGAGTGGTGGTCTCACCTGGCAGCCGTCCTGATTGATCCACTTGGTCTGCACATATTCTCTGTCACCGTCACTCAGGCCTGCGTGATACGCCAGAGCTAATATCCCTGCTCTCTGAAGACTCTGGGCCATGGCATCACAGTCATTACGGGACAGGCAGTACACGATGCCAGAGTCACCTGCAATATGCAGAGAGGCAGCTTAATAAACACAAGACAAATTCAAAGAGGGTTTGAAAACACTCATTCACTAATTTAAAACATGGTCTTTCTTTCATTACAAGGCTACGTACAAAAGCAATTAATCATTTGACAAAAACATGGATCTAAAGATTCATTTGAAGCTTAAGATTTTTACATGCTTCAATAAAACAAAATGGAATAATATGCAGTAACCAGACGGCAGCACAGCAGCATCTTTTGCATATAAGGTGCCATAATTTCTCTGATTAGACAACTCCTTGACTGCTGATATAATTTCTCTTTAACTGTCCCTTTGACATTACTCAGATATGACGGACCTCAGAATGTGTTCACATACAAATCTAAGCTGAATATTCAACAAAACAGTTTCAACAGTGTTCTGAAAACAGCATGAACTTTGATCAGAAAAAGTACTTCTGAATTATTTACGTGGATAGTGCTTCTTTATCCAGCTCATGCAGTCCTCGTCAACCTTTTTGGGTTTCTTGGCCAACACAGCGTACTTCAGGTTTGTTCGATTGAAACTCATGGTAAACCTGAACATACAATGGTTGGAAAATGTTCAGTTACAGTTGGGTGAAACAGAAATGCAGATAATAATCTAAGAGAGAGTCTGAAATCAAACACTTACACCTGTGGCCGAGTCATATTCAGCTGGTTAAGGATATCTTTCTGGACACGGGGGGTGGCAGTGGCTGTCAGAGCCATCATCGAGACGTTAGGGAACTTCTGACGCAGTTCATGCAACCTCTTGTAGTCTGGACGGAAATCGTGTCCCCACTGAAAAATTTAAAAGGTTATGGGATGATTCACGAGGGCTGTAACAAAAATAAAAGCAGATTGCAGATTGTGAATACAGTAAAAGCAGGGGAACACACCTGACTGACACAGTGGGCCTCATCTATGACAAACCGGGCCAACAGACCTCGCTCGTAAAGGTTCTGCAGGGCGGAGATCAGCTTGTTACTTGCACTCACCTTGGGGAGAAGAAAAGATGCATCAGTCATAGTTACTAATAACTTTAACTGTTGGAATCTATGACTGTGATTTCTTGTTTGATAATTCATCCATTTCTCACCTTTTCAGGAGTGACATAGAGCAGTTTAATGATGGGATCTTTCCTGGAGAGCTGCATATAAATCCTCGCTGCTTCACGGTCACTTTTATCACCAGACAGACTCGTTGCTGGAATCTAAAAAATTGTGACATTACAAAATAAACGATGCACTTTCTGAGCAGCACACATATATTATAACAACTTCACAATTTACTCTGAACCAAACAGACCAGCAGGAACAAACATGCTTACATCCAGTGTTGTGAGTTTCTGGACCTGGTCTACAATGAGTGATTTCAGTGGGGAGATGACCACGGTCACTCCTGATGATACGCAGGCCGGCAGCTGGTAACACAAACTTTTACCACCACCTACAAATGCATCAGGTAGAAATTTGGACATCTTTACTGCAGCTGTTACACAGCCTAGTGCGTTTCTGTCATGCATGATGTCTACCAACCTGTGGGCATCAAAACAAACGTGTCCTCTCCCAGAAGCGTTGCATTAATTGCTTCTAGTTGATTAAACCTGAATTGATGAAGACCAAAACGCTTGTGAAAGATCTTCATCATCTCCTGTGAGTGGGGGAAGTTGAAACCTCTGAATCGATCATGGGCTGGGTTTCTGAAGGAGGGCTCTGCCATGGAAAACAATAAAATTGAGTAGATGTATCACAAACCTACAAAGCAACTTTAAAACGCAGAGCCTCTATTTAGCAAGCATCTCAGAATCACTCCAAAGAAATATGCAGAGGCTTAAACGAGGACTAAGTGTGCTTAAAAGACTCAGACATATAGTATGACATAAACTCCAAATATATTATTTGAATTTTGAGTTTTTGTTTACATAGCCCACCCTTAGGTTTGACCAAATATGCATTGCTAAGAGAATTTTGGGTCAAAGGGGACTAATCTTCTGCTCTGAGATGTTTGATAAATACAAACCCAGATTTTTCAGTGCCATGCTGACTTACCAGGGGAGCAGATCTTTGAAGGCTTGGGCGCAGATGCAGGTGTTGTTGGTTTCTTCTCCCACATAGACTTGCTTGGTCCCCCTTCTTTCACTGTTGTAGTCACAGTGCTGGAGTTTTGTCTAGACACTGACGAAGTTGGAGGTTCATCAAAGTAATCAGGGATATCCGAGTCATTAAAGTCATCGATGTCAAAGTCATCAAGGTAAAAGTCATCTGGGTCTATGTCTTCTGTGGCTGTGATGGTTGCCGGGGTATTTAATTTGTTCTGCACAACAGTCCCTGGCGTCTTGGGTGAGAAGACGAGATCTGAGTCTTCCAGGTCTGTGCTTGTTTTCTTAGAGAAATTAAAAGATGGTTTTGTGAAACTGTGAGTAGATGGAGAGTCACAGACACTCTCATTTTCCCCATAGAATTTCCCCCTGTCTTTACTGTGCAAGGGTTTCACATTAACAATACTGTCAGAGGGATCACAGTCATAGTCCACAGAGATTACTGAAGATCTTCTGATGTGAAGAGGTTTCTTGGAATCCACAGGGACAGAGCTGCTGGACGACATAGCACTAGATGCATCACAACTAACAGAATATTGATCTTTTAAGCTGGGTTCAGAAATCACAGTGCTGTCTGGCTGCTGCATCCTTAACGAAGCATCACCACCAGTTGCAAGAATCCTCTTCCTGGAGGAGAGAGGCAGATGAGTGCAGTCATACTGTGGTAACATTAAATATTATGAATAAAAATAAGACTTTCCACTTAAATGTACACACACCTTTGAGCCCTCTTTAGTAAAAGGTCATTTCCACAAGATAGAGCTATAAGTTCATGTTCAGGGATGGAATCAACCAGAGAACAAATGGACTCCATGAGACTGAAAAGCTGCTCCTCTGAGACACGATCAGAAGAAAGAAACAACAAATTTAATGAATGAGGACAAAGAACAGAGTCCTTATATCATGAATAAAATGTGTATAAGTACTGGACAAATCAGAAAAAGGTCAAACACCCACTTGTTTTGTCTTTTGAGTGGTGATCAGAAGGTTCATGTGGAGTTTGACTGTCTCTGCTTTCAGTATAAGATGATTTAGATCTGTTTGAGGTAAAATTTAGAATTGTCTTTAAGGTCAAATCTGATATCCAAGTAAAAAAAAGAATATGTAATTAGAGAGGGGAGACTTTGCTATGATAAGTATTACAGTAATACAAATGGTGTGAACCCTTAGCAGCAAAAATAGACCAACCACTATCACTGTACTACTAAAAGTAATGTGTTTTTTATACCAACATGAGAATCTCAACTAATAACCTTTCACAAAAAACAAAAATAACATCAACTAAGTCAAAGACAAGTCAGACAATGTTATAAAAGTGCAATGCTAAATCGGTGGAGTACACATTTAACAGTACAGTGGATTAACTGTGTGTTTTTAATTACAAGCATAACACATAAAGTGTACATTAATAATAATCTAATGGTCTACCACATATACACAGAAACTCCTGTAAATGATAAAGTGTAATAAACTGAGAAAACTGACCTTGTCTCTAGTACTGAAGTAGTATAAGATATCACATCTGGGATTGGTGAAGGGGGAATGTAGTCTAGGTCATCTTCAGGCTCGGAGTAATCATCAATTTCTATTACCTTTGAGTCAATCAATTTTTTCTTATCATCTAAAGGGCAAAAACAAAACAAACATTTGGTATAGTCTAAGTTTTTTAGAATAACTCAATGCATTCTTGTATTTGTTCTCCAATGTAAAATAATATACACATGCTGTAACAAAAAGTGTGTTACCTGTCTTTTCTTCAGAAGGCTCAGACACAACATTGTTGCCATCTTCACTATCACTCATGACAGAATTCAGATGAGCACGAGGACGTCTTCTGGGCATTTTAATGGGGTAATCATCCAGTAAAAACTCTGTTGAGTACTGATTACAACTAGGTCCTGGTGAAAGTGCAGCTTTGTTGACACTGTGCTCCAGTTCATCTGTTTCCTCACTGTTGGAAAGACCCTTCTTGTTTGAATAACATTTGCTTAAGTCTGGTGTCATAACAGAAGCATCAGGGTTTAGGTCCCCTGTGAATTCTGTTTTTTCTTCCTTAGGAGATGACACTGGCTTGGAGCTGTTCCCTGATATTTCTGAATTGAATGAGTTATTTTTTGCCTTAGCAGGAGTTTCAAAGTCATCAAAATCATCCCAGTCTTCTATCGGGAATCCAAGAGACGCATCCAGACTCGTGGAGGTGCTATTTCCATTATTTGTAAACTTGCTGTCATTTAGAGTTGGAGCTGTAGTCCTCTTAATACTGGATACTGCTGAAGGAGTATGGCCTGCAGGAGCACAGTTACCTGCTGGGCTGATGGAGTCTGACTTGTCTTTTGAATTTACAGGGAAGAAGTTGTTGATTTTGGACTTTTGAGGTCTCTCAAGCTTGGTTAAAAATGTCAAAGGAGATTTAGTCACCAAACTGTTCTTAGGGACATTGATATTCCTGTTTGCCAAAACATTTGAGCTGATTACCTTGGTGGGGACTTCCACTGTAGTTATACCCAATGAGGACTTCTTTTTGAATGAAAAGGCCCTGAAACAAACAAAGGTATGGAATTAGGAAAAGGTGATTACCAGTTGACAGCAGGTGCATAATGTCCATTTAGAGATTTGATGGATTTAGAGGACAGCCAAATTCTATTATTGTCTTCATTAACACCTTCTCTTTTAATTTGAAAAGATGAAAATGACAGTTACTCAATTTGAGTAAATTGTATAATATAATGTTTGTATCTATTTGAAATAATTTAAATTAGTCAATTTATTAAATAAAAATTAGTGAAACTCCCTGGTAAAGAGTAAATGCATGAATTCACAATAAATCATCATAAACAAAGCCAACATATCCCTCCTGTGCTGCGAACTCATACATAACTAATGAGTGTTGATAAGCACAGCACATCTGACAGCTCGAAGCTAACTGTTAGCTAGTGTTTTAGTTCCGCTGTAGTTTAAGTTCACTGTAGACTCACCCTGGTTTGGGTTTAGCCAGTGACAACCTGCTCTGAGCAGCATTGCTGTGCCTCGCCAGCTGCTCCTTCAAGTTATTTTGTGGAAGACTGGACATTGTAGGTAAGAAGCTGAGCTAGCGAGGGTTAGCCCGCTAGCAGTCCGTGCTCAGTTCTAGAAGTAGTGGCCACTTTCTTCACCATTGCCCGCGACACGGGATGAGACGAGTAACCGGAGGATCCAGCTGTATTAGTCCCGCCAACGAAGCTAAATTAATCAAACGAAGAAAGTTTATTCTACTTATTTGACCATTTAGCCGCAACGTCTGCTCACTTTGGTGATGTATGAAATAGACCAACAACGAATTGATTTTGCGCCTGTTCAACAAACTGACTCCTTATTGGCTTAGGTTGAGCAGGAACGGGGCTTCTGGGAAATGTAGTCTTACGAGACACATGCCCAATAGTCAGGCCCCACCTCTACTGTAGAGCATGGATTTAAGAACTGTAGAGGCAAGAAAATAAATTAATAAATAAACAAAAACACAAATAGATAATTTTATTGCAGCTTGGTCATCTCTCTCTCTCTTTACATATATATATATAGAATATATGTAGCATGATGGAGGGGGCTAGAGCTGCATTTTTGTGAAATCCTATATTGTATAATGACAGTAACCTTGTCTCCATGTTTTGTCACAATAATTATTATTTAGCCCTATGCTTTAATGTTCGTAATGTAGACAAAGCTCTCTCTAGACATATTTTCAGCCACTGGAACCTGCTGGGTACCATGATTGTGCTACTCACAGGTGATGTCTCCTTAAATCATGTGAAACATGATATTACATACCACAGATTTTCTTCTGGTATATCCTCATATCCCGCTAAAGAAGTGGAGTGTTTAAACCTGTATGAGATACAAAGCTGCAACACCATTTTATAACCCTGCAATTTTCTTAGATATAAAAAGTTTCTTTTTTTTGTCTTGAAAACAAAATGAGTTTATGCAGGTTATGTCTGCTGCAATGATTCACTTTTACTATTAATTAAAAGTAGTTTTTCACAAAGGGATAAAACAATTTTTATTAATTTATTAAGTTGATGTGTACATTCTCTTCCCAGTGGAGTCATCCCCTGAGGGGGCAGGTTTAAGGTGTGGTAATGACAGAAAGCAACATGTGGATTATACCCTCCTCAGTCATTATAGCTATAGCCATTATATTTGCACACTTTGCAGACAGCTGCAACTGCATATTGTGATAAAAAAAAAAACTCAAAAAGATTTAAAAGATTTTATTTGTAAATTTAACAACAATGAATTGAATCATTGGTTCTTAAGTGATAAACTGATATGTATTGATTAATCTGTCACGGTGTTTTACTGGATGCTGAGACTTGCTTCATTGTGCAAAGACCCACCCTACATGAAAGCAATTCAGGCTGCTGATTCTATAAAAAATTACCATATGTAACAACAATTTTAAAAAGTAGTTGAATTCCATTCCCTTTTCAGTCCTTTTGTATTTTGCGATCATGCAGAAATCACAACACTGGGAAAGATGAGCAGGCAGCAAGTCCACACATATTCTTCCCACGTTCAATGAGAAAATATCTGTAAAAGGACAACAATGTTATGGCCTTTCTCTGGTTGGTGTATATTTCATATTATTTTCTTGTATGTGGTAAAACAGAAAACTTACCCATTAATCCCCCAGGTGGATGACCATGAGTTCTTTACTATCCAGTAAGGGGTGCCATTGTCCTTTCCATACCCGACTGCTAGCACTGCATGGTTAACCTTGTCTGTGGTGTTGTCGCACTTGGTGCTGACAGCAGGAAGAGTAGAGAGTTAGTCTCCAACTTTATAAACATAACTGTTTTGATAAAGAATGAGGCACTAAACCACTGCAAGTCTGACAGCTTTACTGACAGAAAGAGCCTGTTTTATAAGTGATTTAAATGCTCAGAGTGCAGACAATATGTTTATAACCAAATGAAATATTCATAAACCAAGATTTTCAAATCCTTACTTATGCAACAGTCAGTGCTGGGAAGGTTACTTTTGTAATGCAATAGGTCACTGATTATTAATTACTGTGTTGCCAATAAAATAAGTAATATCACTGTTTTAATTACTTTATCAAAGTAATGTAACTAATTACTTTTCAGTAGGTCTATCTTTAATGTAGTTGGTTGGTGCCCTGTAAAAATGTCACAACCTAATGACCTCTCCAAGTTAATACTTAATGAAAACACAATACTGAATTTGGTTAGTGTTATTAGATCTCACACCTGTCTGACCCATGTTGTCCACAAATATGCCAAAAGAAGGCATTCCTGCCCGACCAAAACAGCAAAGTAACAGAATGAATGTTATATTCTACATATAAGCTTTTTTTAATGAAAAGAAAACATTTGGCTGTAACACCTTTTGTAATCACCGACAGTCTGATTAGTAGGTGTAATTTAATTACAATTTTTTTCTCAGTAACTGTCACAGATTATAATTACATTTATTTTGTAAATCACGTCACATAACATAACAATCCCATCACATTTAACTAGTTACTCTCCAACACTGGTTGGGGGGTGGGATTAAGCTTTGCCTCTCTGATTCTTGTGTGCTAATAATACTAGTGTTAATAAATCCACAAGAAAAATTTATGTGTTGTGTATGTGTTTAAATGACGTTAAAATATTTTTTTCTCTAGTCCTTGTTGATAAGTGAGAGAAAATGTTACAATAGCAGATTAAGATACTATTTTGGCCTGAAAATCTCCCTGATCGTTCAAGTAAAGGTGATGTCTTTCTAAGACATACTGTATATTACTACAGCGTAGCAAAACTGTTCAGCGATTTGTAAATGTAAGAAACAAACAAAACCTTAAAAATAGACAGCCTAATAATGTTCCAAGATTACAGATCACATTATTTCTGTGACTTCCTATCACCTGGTGTATACGCCCTGCTGGTAATGCATGAAGTCCGGGGTCACTTCAAAGGCAAAGCTGACAGGATTTCGTGTGGCGACAGCATCAACCATTCCCATCTCATCGTACTGACAGGTAACAGAAAAACATCATCACTCACAGGCTCTCAATAAAGACAATTATCTCAAGGAAAGACATTGATGTTCACTTACTGCAGTTATGTTCATCACCTCCCTCACATAAGCGATTGCCGCCTTTGGGTCATACTTGCAAACACCTTCCTAAATTTAACAAAAGAGGAAGAATCAAAAGCTATTAAATATGTAATTTCAAGTCAGTTTTGTTTATTAGTTTGTTTTGTTTATGCTGTAGGATAGCTGCTTATTTACTTACAATAGCTGTGTATGGGTAGTCCGTCTCTGCCATCAGTCCCTTACTGTACATGATATATTCAAAAGCTTGACTTGGAAGACCGCTAGAAGAAAAAAATAATAATAATTATACAAATCTGACTGTGTTGATGCACAAAGTGGTAGTTAACAGGGATATTATAAAAAGAGGAAAGGAAACAGGTTTGACTCTCACCCATTACATCCATGGTTGTTGAAGTCCTGGGCACAGTCCACCAGCTGTTGTTCTGACTAGGTAATTGGAAAATTACATTTCAAAGATGAATTAAAATGTCATAGTTCAAGATTACAGTAAATATGCTCTGTCCTACTATGGCAGTGGAACTATATTTTTAGTTAAGAGCAGCAGTTTTGATAGAGGAGTGAAACAAAGTCACCAGTGGTATGAGTTTCCCATATTTGATAGCGGTAACAGACTCCAAACAGCCGGTTGTTGAAAATGTCCAGCAACTGCCACATCCTGCCTTTAGAGAAAAAAAAAAAAAAAAGGTAAAAGGACATTTTGTGAATATTTTACAAACTTTTTCTCTCATGCCTCCCTTTGGAAGATGAAAGATTTTCATTCACCCTCCATAATGCATACATTTATGGTATTTTTATCAACCCGTAACAATATGCCTTTTCACAGAAGACATTCTGACATGTGACAGTAGGAAAAGCACTGCTGTAAATAATAAAATTAATGATGACTGAATTTATCTTGAGAGCATTGCAAGCATCAGATCACTCAACAGACAGATTCATAGATATTTTTTTAATCTTTTTCACCTTTATCCATGAATCATTCATTTTTTATTTTTTCGCAGCAGTGAGCAGCTCCTTCATTTCCTTCACTTCCTTTGTGCATTTCATTGCAGGAGAATTGTGTCCATTAACAGCACACTCATTAGGGTATGTAGTGGGCACGCTCACTTTTGTTGCATTTCAAGCGTGAACACTCAAAACCTGCTTAGAATGAGTATGACTGGGTGGGCACACCTCTTGGGACGCAATGGATTATTACAGTTATACTTGACTGACAATACCTGAAAATAAAATGTGTGTGTGTTGGATGGTTAGTGCAATTAAACTTTACCTGATTCTTCACATCTGTCACATAATTCCCTTTATTCCTCCAGTCAATGGAGTCTGGATATGGTCCGTTGCTACTGAGGTAGTTCCCTCTTGTGGCAGAGCAGTTCTGTAGAAGACAGTATGTAAAGTAACCTGTCCTGAACAAAAAACAATCTGTGTAAACTACTTCCTGAATGGGTGCCATTACCTGTGGCTCAGACCAGAGGAAAGACTTGCGAAATTCACTGAATGTCATGTCTGAAAACTGGTTCAGCCCCACTGCAGGAAGAGATGAAACAAAGCTCAACACATGTGTAAAAAAATAAAAATAAATATAGTGAATGCAACAACAAGCTCCCCCTACTTGTGAAAGAGTGATTTCCTTCATTGTGTTTGTCAATCTTCCTCTTGTTCTCAGTGAATATCTGGAGTCTCTCATAGTATTCCTTCAAGCTGTACACTTTGTTGTGCTGGACAAAGGGGACACTGCAGTTAACTTTGTTTTTTTTTTTATCATATTATATCGATTACTTTAGACTAACTATGGGGTAGTAATCAGCTTATAGGGTTAATCATACAGCTCACATTAGAGCATAATGTTGCAGAGATTTTTCTAACTTCCTCTAAACCATATACTGTTCACATTTGTTACATGAAGAGTTTGATAGACAGATCCTACTGTACCTGTGCCATCCATGACTTGAAGTGAAACTCATCTGAAAACAAGTCATATTGTCAAACTTAATGTAATACAGCGAATAATTGTAACAAGAAACGAACAGACATGGTAGAATATGAAACTGAAAGTGTGGGCTAACACAAACAAAACTGTGTGTACAACTATAAAAAAAAGTGTTCTACTTCACAAAACGGACGATCGCAGCAGCTTACCTTGTTCAGACAGATAAAAAGCTGAAGCTGCGGACACCAAAGCAAACAAAAGCAAG